TAATATATATTCGTCACGCAGTACAACCTTGTGCATATCGCAGTCAGTCAGTTTTATTGATTTTTGACAGTTGAAATGGTTGAATATATATATTATATATGTATACTTACAGTGTTTTTTTCTCATTGCATTTCAATAACGTAATGAATTAATAAAAAGCGCATGGTTTATAACTGCTATAGTGTATGTATACAGGGTGAATAACAGTTTAAAAAACTGAATAATGCGAAACCGCTTTGTTATGGTCTATATTTAAAAAAAAAATTAATATTCTTCTTTCAAATAATTTATAAATACTTGCGCTATATTTATGGTATATATTTTAGATTCTGAGTGAAAGGATGAATGTATTGATTTTACAATGATGTGTGTTTTTAATTTTTATTTAATTTTTTTTTTGTGTCTGTCGTCACCTTTTAGTACAGTAAAAGTGCTTGGATTTTCTTCAACAGTATCTTTTCTGATAGGAAAGTGAATCTAGTTGGTACTTTGGGGGGTCAAAAGTAAAAATTTCTCAGTAGTTTTCAAAAGCGCCGTCAAAAACAAAAGAAAAATTAAGGAAAAACGGGAATTTTTTTCGAGAAAATCGATTTTGGTTTTTGGAGCAACTCTAAAACAAATTACCGTAGATACATGAAACTTTTACTGACTGTTTATATTAGCATTTTATATTCACCATGCCTTTTTAAAAATTTTTTTACTTATTTTGAGCTGTTTAGGGACATTTTCATTTTCCAATTTTTTTAGTTTTTTATTCTATAAATATCAATACAATATTATTTGTTGGGTACAAAGGCTTTAAAATTTAATAGAAAGCTCCTACTATATTGTTACAATAGTAGTTCTAAAAGATTAAAAATCCTTAGTCACAGTTTTTTTTTATAAGCATTTAAAGTTTTTTTTTTTTTTCATTTTATTAAAAGAATATTTACAATCTGTATACATACATAAAATAATACAATAAGTAAATTATGAAAAACTTAAACGAAAAAACAAAACGAAAAGAACATGAAGGCTTGAGAGAAGGGGGCGCCCATTTACACCACTTCAAAGTATTTAAAGTTAAAAATCTTAACAAAATACGGAAAAATCAAGAAAATTAGAAAATTATTTTGAGTTGAGAATTCATAAAAATTTTTCTTTTTAAATCTAAGATTTGAAAATGTGATACAAGATTACTCATAAGTTTTCTACCTTTATCAAAAAAAAAATGTCTACAAGCAAATCAAATTAAATTGTTATGAACCTTTGAAGTTCATATTTTTACAAGATTGGATATTCACTCGATTTTTTATGTAGGAGTTTTGTTATTTTATTGTTATTTAAAAACGAATAATTGTAGATACATGAGAACTTTACTGAATGTTTATATTTTCATTTTTTATACACCATAAAAATTTGAAAATATTTTGACTATTTTTGAGCTGTTTACGGACATTGTCAGTTTTTAATTTTCTTAGTTTTTTTTTCTATAAATATCAATAAAATTTTATTTGTTTTGTAAAAAAGAGTGAAAATTTAAAGCAAGGCTCCAGATATATTGTAACAAAAGCAGTTGAAAAATATTAAAAATACATAGGCACATATTTTTTTTGCTTTGAACTATTTACGGACATTTTTAGTTTTTTTTTTCTAGAATGTCGATAAAATCTTATTTGTTGGGTAAAAAAGCTTGAAAATCGAATACAAGGCGCCTATAATATATCGTTACGTTTGAAAAGTATTAAAAGTATCCTTAGTCACAGTTTTTTT